TCTCTGATGACACAGTGACGTGGACAGTTTCTTCAACATTGAACTTCTACTTACCATCCGACCAGCAATTGCACTCCTGGGCATTTTCCCCAGAGAGATGAAAACTGTGTCCACACGAAACTCACCACACAATTGTTCATGGCGGCTTTGTATGTAATAGCCAAGAACCAGAAACAACCAAAATGCCCCTCAGTAGGTGAATAGTGAAACCACCTGTCATACGTCCCCACCACAGAACGGAATGCGACTGGGAAAGAGACAGGATGGAACTATCACTAGACATGGCTTGAGTGGATCTCAAGATCATGATGACAATCATAAGGGCACATCCTGCCTGGTTCCCTTCACATATCATTCTTAAAGTGACAAAGTGATACCCATGCGGAGAGGATTCAGGGCTTAGGGATGGTGGGGTGGAGGATAGATGTGACTATAAAAAAGTGTCAAGGGAGATCTTTTCTGTGAAAGAGCTCTGCCTCTTGCCTGGGGGAGTGGCTCCATAATCTCCACATGCGATCGAGTGACAAATTCCACTCCTGTCAGGCTCTGGGTGTGACAGTGTGCCACATTGTGCCAGATGTCACTATGGGGAGCTAGATAGAGGGCACATCAGCGTTGCCTTTTCCATCCCCTGTATGTTTTTATCTTTCTCAGAGTGCACACTGAGTCTCCCCCTGACTCCGGGGGAGTGACGCTGTGTGTGTGTGTGTGTGTGTGTGTGTGTGTGTGTGTGTGAGAGAGACAGAGGTCGGGTGGGGTGAGGACTTGACCTCAAGGGAAGGAGTGTGTAAAACCCAGTAGATCCTTCCTCCTTGAAGCCTGGCTGGAGGACCTGGAGGGCAGAGCCCCAAGGGGCTGGGGTGAACCATGGAGACTCGGTAAACAGGCAGCTCCATCCAAGTTGGTGCCCAGTCTTCTGGGGACATGGCTAAGCTCCGTTTTTAGAGTCTACCAACTCATGCGCGTGCACACACACACACACACACACACACACACACACACACACACACGCACACACACATGACCTGGATTCCAGCCTCTCACACCACACAAAGCACCATGTGTCCCTTTAGAAGGTCCTCAGACCAGAGGAAAAGCTTGATTCTCCTTGTTTTCCAGAAGAAACGACAGGAAGAGGGAGGGCCCTCCTCCAAGGTCGGAGGGTTTGGGACAGAATTCGGGGCAGGCCAGCGGGCCAGCAGTGTGGGTGCTACTCAGTTGCACCTGAAACTGGCAGGTAGGACCCTGCCGGGCCCACGTGGAGCCAGGGCCCAACCACACCCTCTGGGGCCCTGCCCCTGTCACTGAATCCCTGGCCATCTATCTCTTCTCAGAAACTGACCGTGAGGCAGACGTGGAGGCGGCTTCCTCCTGTGCAGCTGCTTGGGGCTCGGCCTGACCTCACCTCTTGGATCAGTCAGTCACAGCCCCATGCTCCTTCCTCTCCCCCACGCGGGGCGCCCCGTCTGTGGCTGGCCCTGTGCTGAGGCTGACACATATTTATTATCTCCCTGAGTCATGTGAGCCCAGGTGGGTCATTCCTCCCACTTTATCCATGAGATGAGTGAGGCGCAGAGAAGTCAGGCAGCCCATCAGACAACGATACCAAGAACTGAGAGTCAGCTCCGGACCAAGTCTCTCTACACACTTCAGCTCCCGCCATTCCTTGGCCCAGCTCAGAAAAGCTCTGCCCGCATGGGGAGCTTGTGATAAGAAGCCCCATCCAAGCCACTCAGCCTCAGACTGGCTGCAGGTGAGGCTGCCTAGAAGTTAGGGGTCCGGGTCCCAGACCCTGCTCCGTCACGCCATACTCGTCCACTCTCTCTGACCCTTCCCTGCCTCGTTTGTAAAAGTGAACACAACCTTCAGACCTTCTCCAAGGACGGTGGCCATAAGGCTTACGGTGCCCTTGAGGTGCGTGACCATAGCTATTATTTCATATCTGCCACCTGTCCCTGCCGTCCCCCACCCAGCCACGCCCTCGCTCCCATCCAGGCTGAGCAGGCCCAGATCAGCCCCACAGCTTTTCCTCATCCCCCTTCTCCAACCCCAAACAAGGACTCCTCAGTGGCTGGGGCCCAGGGTATCTCCTTCCCTCCTGCAGGCCTGCCCAGCCAGGGGGAGGACAGGCAGAGCCAGATGTTTCCCAGATGTTGCTGAAGTTAAGCCCAGGAGTGCTCCTCTGAGGCCCAGGGCCTGTTGCTTGAGGTTCTGAGCGCTCTGAGAAAGAGGCAGGGGAGGGCCTGGGGGAGGCTTTGAGAAGAGAGGTGCGTTGGAGAGGCTGGCTAGGGGAGGACATCCACGGGAGGGACCCAGAGGGGAGAGTGAGCAAAGGGACTTGGGAGCAAGACAGGGAGGTGAGGATAAGGAGCTCAGAGAAGTCTGGTGAAACGGAGGGGACCAGGGAGGAGTGAAGGCTGAGAATCAGGCTGACTTGCCACCATTGCCCCCTGACCCCCGACCCCTACCCTAGGATCCCACTTCACAGGCAAAGAACTTTAGAACTCCCTCGAAGCTGCCTCCGGGCCCTCCTGAGCCGCTCCTGGAGATAATGCACTCCCTGCTACAGGAGGGCGGCAAGCAGAAGCCCAAGAAGCACCAGGCAGCAGTTTGGAACCGAGGGAGAGTCTGGGGGGCCAGATCTGTCCCAAACCAGACCAAGAGGCCGAGAGTGCAAGGGACTGGACTCGCCAGCAAGAAGTCAGCTGCAGTTGGCACAGGCGGGCCAATACCGAATCTCTACCCACTGGCACCCAGCCCGGCAGCACTGCTGTGCCCTCTCCCCTTTCCACCTTTCGCACCCTGCTTGCCAGCTGATCCCAAATGCGCCCAGCGAGGCCAAGACTGGGCAGTGGCGCAGGGACAGGCTGTTCTGACTTAGTCCCTGGAACAGGCAGACATTGTTCCTGAGGACAGGGTTCTGGGGTCTGGGACTAAAGGCCCCCGTCCTCCCTAATACGGCAGAGCCGGGCTGGCAGGTGGAGAAGGGGCTCATGCCCTTGCTAACAGCAGCTCCTGCTGAAGGAGCACCGCCCTGTGCCAGACCCTGGGCTAAACCTGCCGCAGGAATGACCTTGCTCAGTCATCACAGCTCTGGGGTGGGGGTCAATATGCACAATTCGCAGATGGGAAGACGGAGGCAAAGCGAGGTTATGTGACTGGTTCACAGATTTGCAGCTAGTAGCCAGTGGTGGAGCCAAAAGCCGAATCTGAGAGCCTGACTCCAGACTTTGGGCCTCTCACTGCGCTGGGTGCTGCTTCCCTCCCTCCACCTCCGTCTTCCCACCTGAGGGATAAGGAGGGAGCTGGGCATACTGACCACACAACTCTCAGAACCCACACTGACCAGCCTGGGTTTGCCAGGCAGAGACCAAGAAACCTGCTCTTTCCTCACATGTGGAAAAAAAAAAAAAAATGGGGACCAGGCCAAACCACCCTAAACAGGTGAGGGGAGTGAGGGACTGAGGTCTATGGGGGTAAAGGCTGTCCCCAGGAGCTCAGGGCAGGACCCAAGCACGTTTCCAGACTGCTTTCCAAAAGCTTGGCATAGCCAAAGCCCCTCTGAGGCCAGGGGTCCCTGTATGAGTAATGGAAACCAGGCAGTGGGCCCTTCCGAAATGGGAATTCCATCTGCCTGACTGTTCTCCTGGACTCTGGTTTCCATGGCAATTTGGGGTGGGAAGGTGGAGGGCCTGGAGGAGGGCTCCTTCCCTGGAATTAAGAAAGGGGAGTCTCCTATGGGCTGGGTGTCTCCTCCTAGAGATGCCCTCGCTCCCTGCTCTTCCTGCCTCGCCGAGGCCCTGGCAGCTGCCCTCCACCACGACGCAGCCACGCACGGCTCACTGGCCAGGTCTGGTGCCTGGAAGGAGACCCAGCCCATTCCTGGAAGAGCTCGCATCCCTGTGCCAGGGGAAAGGCTGTAGCATGTTGTTGAGCACCTACTGGATGCCTGGCCCCAGCTTAGGCCTAGAGACCAACCACCATTTCTGATGTTGCCCTTACGGGGGTGGCCTCGCCCAGGGAGACCAGCAAGGGAAAGCAGTGTCCTTGGATCTCCCAGTGCCCAGTGGGCAGACCCGAACCCAGGACACCAGATAGGGAACGAGATCCAAGGAGAGGGGTCCAGCCCCTCTTACACCAATCAATTCCGTCCAGATTTAAGTCAGCCCAACTGAGCCAGTCCCCACCCACAGGCCGTGTCCTGGCCCCTGCGCTGGGCCCTGCCCCAAGACCCTGGCAGCTTGTATGTGTGGGCATCAGGGGAAGCTTTGCCATCAGCTGGGCTTGGATTCCAGGCCCTCTTCCACGCTCCAGGAAAGTGGGCCAGGGCCTCCCCTGAACTTGGCTGTGGACCAGGCCTTCCCTAAATCTGCATCTCCCGTTAGGCACAGCGGGGGAAGCCCTCCCCAGGCCTCAGAGGGACTCTGGGCGCCCTACCCCCTGTCACCTCCCAGCTCTTCCTTGTCCCAAATGCCTCGTCTGCACTGCTGCTCTGTCAAAGGTGTTGGCCCACCCACCCTCCACCCACCAGCCCTGGGACACCTGCACGTTCCACCGGAACCCCCAGGTGGCGCAGGGCAGAGACGTGAAGGAGCTTGCTGAAGGTCCCATGGCCAGTTGGTGACAGAGGACAGGAGATCCAGAGCTTTTCAGCCAGTGGGGCTCAGACTGAACCCTGTCTCTGCCCCTTGCCTGCTGGGTGACCTTGAACACGTCTCCTTACCTGCCTGTGTACCACGCTCCTCATCTGTAAAATAGGGATAACCCCCTCCCAGGCCGCAGAGAAGAGAAGCGGAATGCGCATGGCAGAGCCGGTCACACAGGCAGAGGTGGTCAGGGAGCAGCCCTCGCCACTGTACGGTGTCTGTGGCTGCAGGATGGGAGGCAGGGGATGGCTCAGAAAGGGGGAGAAGCTGGACCCGCAGGCCAACGACCGACCCTCCCGGCCCCCGGCCCCCTGGGAAGCCTCCAAACCGGGGACACACAGAAAGGGTCAAAAGCAAGAACTAACACAGGCCTTTTATTTGCTCCAGAACGTGGCTGCTGTGTGGTCTGAGAGTGCCATGCTTTCCCAGGGCCCCTCAGGGACCTCCGTCCTCGAGGGCGCCGGGTTCCTGGGCGAGGGCAGACGGTATCGCCCGCTCCTCCAGGCCTCATCGGCCCGGGAAGGCCCGGCTGCCTGCCCCTGGCTGGTGCCTGGGACCGGCACCTCCCCTGAACCTGGAAAATGATGCCCACCTTTCTCGGCAAGGCGGCTTGGTCACAAGGCGTTGGTTAAAATATTGCACTTGTCAATTAGGAAAACTGATGAGGCAACGGTTTCCTGTTACAGGAAGACGTGTCAAGCATCCTACTACTGTTTAAATAAATAAAACTCAAGGCGGGGGGTCCTCCGGGGCTTCTGGAGAGCCCCGGAGCCCGGCCGTGCCCCCGCCCCACCAGCCAGTTCTTTAAGGAGCTTGGTCGACGGGAGGTCTCCGCAGTGGGGAGCGGCAGCCCCGGATCTGGTGCCGCCAGGGCCCCCGACCTGCCGGGGCCCTCGAGCCCCCTCGTACCAAGGCAGTGGGGACCCAGTGGGGCCAGTCCTTCTCTCCTCCGGTGGCCTGGGCCTCGCCTCTCGTCCAAATGTCCATCCGTCTGTCCGGAGACGTGGCCTCTGGGGGCTTGGCTGCCCCCTCCTCCGTCGCAGGGGAGAGGGAGGCGTAGGAGGAAGCCCAGCCCTCCTGGTGTGAATGCTGAGCTCTATTCTGGCGGCCCCTAGAGTGGGGGACTCATCTTCTTTTGGTTAACGAGGTCCAGGTAGAGGTCCGAGCGGAGGAAGCGCGGGTACGAGTCCTTTTCCATGAGCCCGAAGATGCGCTTCTGCGCCAGATCGAAGCAGCCCCGCGTGACGCTCTGCAGGTTGTCCTTGGTGTGCTCCCGTGTGTACGAGTCCAGGTTCACCTTCAGGGGCACAGGGGGCAGGGTCAGGGCCGCCCGCAGGGGGCTGGCCCCGGGGACCGGGGTGGGGGCGGGACCTGTCTAGCCTCTCACCTCAAAGCCCCTCTGCTCCACCTCACAAGGTTCAGAGCGGAGGCCCTCGGACCGGCAGTTCGAGTCTTAGCCCGTCCCTTACTGAAGGGCCTGCAACCCACCTCCAGGGCCAGGCTGCCCGGGCTCAAATCCCAGTAACGCCACATCTAAGTGTGTGGCTTCAAGCAAATCACTGAAGTGCTCTGAGCCTCCGTTGTCTTATCTACCGCTTAGGAATAATAGTACCTTCTTCCAAGAGTTGTGTAAATTATTTAAAAAAAAAACAACAGGTAGGGGGTGAATCACCAGACCCCCCACTCCACACACCCCCCCCCCCCCAGGCTAGGCCTCTCGTCCAAATGTCCATCTGTCTGTCTGGAGACAGACTGCGCACACAGTAAGCGCTCAATAGATGTCAGCTACTACGATTAGGCTCTCCAAGACGGTCCCTCATTTTAAAAGTGAAGATCATATTAAAATCTACTTCACAGGTTACTAGACGTGAGCCCGTTCATAAGGGGCTTAGTGTCGCAAGAGGCCATTTTTGTTATCAGCTGAACTCAGTTCTTCCCCGAGGTCCCAGCTGGCCTCCTCTCCACCCGGGACACATGTGCCTGAGAATCACCCTGCCCTCCCCCCTTCCTGCCCTCCTCCTGGAGGCATCCAGCTCCCCCCAATCACTGAGCGGCCATGGGGCCCGGGGACAGGGCTGGGGGCCCGGATGGAGTCCTTACCTCCTTGCACGCCTGGATTGCGATGTACTCGGCGAAGATCTTCTTGGCCTTGGCTGCCATCTTGGACTGTGACTTGACCTTCTTAAAGTCCTCGCATGCCAGCCAGAACTCTAGGTTCTCCTCGCTGAACTCGGTGCGCAGGAAGGCCTGGAACACGGCTAACCCATCTGTGGGGAGAAAGAAGTCCGGACCCTGCGTGAGAGACAGAACCAGCCTCTCCTGCCCTCGGCACCCTAGATTATCCTCCCGGGACCGTTAGGGTGTAAATGCCTCTGTGAGCCTTGGCCAGGTGTCTCCCCACCCGTGCCTCAGTTTTCTCATCTGCAGAATGGGGATCACCAGCCCTGTGAGGTGATCCGAGGGGACCCTGCCCGTGAGAGGAGGACCGTCACATTTGGCCCAGTGTGAGCCCTCGCAGTACATGGAAATGTTTCTTGTTATTCTGGGAAAATGGGTCTGAGCACACAGGTCCCAGCGGCCTCCAGCGGGCAGTGCCAGCTCCCATGGACAGGGAGGGGCTGGCGGCACCGGCTCAAGGCCAGACCCAGGGCCTCAGCCCGGGCTCAGCTTCTCCCAACAATAGGGACACCTCACGGGGCCCAGGAAAGAGGGAGAGGCTACCTAGGCGGGATCAGGCTCCCGCTCTGGTCTAGGAGAGGAGGAAGAGAGAGAGGGAGAGAGAGAACCCAGGAAGGGGGAACAGGCCACGGGCCCCCACTTACATTTGTGAAGCAGCAGCTTCTCCAAGGACTCGCCCCACTTGAGGGCTTCTTCCGAGGTGGGCCTGAGGGCAGAGGGAAGGGGCACCATAAGGCTCCGAAAAGTGGGGCAGCTGGGCCTGGGCAGCCTCTGATCCGCCACCCTTGGCCCAGGCAGTGACCGATCCTGACTGGGGAGCCCAGGAGGGGTCCACCCCCTTTCTTGGGGTCAGTTTCACTTCTATCCCCGCTGCCCTCGGCCCCTGCCTGGCTGTCCTTCCCAGGGCAGCTAGCCCAGGAGGGTTGCTGCTTGCAGGCACCAGGCTCCCTCCATCTGAGCCTCCATCCCATCCAGAGCTGGATTCAATACCCCTTGCCCTTTACCTCCACCACCAGCCCTGCTCCCCCTCTGCCCCGTCCCCCCTCCGGGGAATCAGTGAGCGCCTGAGGGGTCCCAAGGTGCCAGGGGGGACCTACTTGAATGACTTCATCACTTTGTCTGCCTTGCCTGCTGGCTGGGCCCCGGGGGACTCGTTCCGCCGCCTGAAGATGCCCAGCTTGTTCTTCATGTCCTTGGCTCTGGGGGCAGAAGCGGAGAAAGGGGGTCGGTCAGCCGGGCACACTCAGACCCCGTAAACTCGGGGTCGGGAGGCCAGGGGCTGGGGCAAGGGCCACCTACTCCTTCATCGTGTGCCGCCTCTGTAGGTTCCCGTTGCGCGTGAGGTACATGCCTCGGAGCATGTCCGCGGGGCCCCCCACCTTGGGGCCCGGGAAGGTCTGCAGGGAGCACTCAGGGCTCCTGCTCCCCAAGCTCTGTGCCGAGCGGCAGGCAGGCCGGCCGGGCAGCCGTGGGGCAGGACGTGGAAGAGCCTGCCTGCGCTTGCTGGGATCCCAGGCGGACTGCGGGACGCCCAGGCATAGGCTGGGCTGGGACTCCAACAGGAGGAGCCAGGAAATGGGAGGGACCAGGATGGAGAATGGGGGGGGCGGGGGGGAGCCTTTTTGGCCAACCCGGAGAGGGAGCAGTGAAAGGGGCTGTGTCTGCGAGGGGCGGCCTCTGGGGCGGCCCAGGCAGGAAGCCAGGCCCAGTTATTTGTGAGTGGCCTCCCCGTTACCACGGCAGCTGGGGGAAGGAGAGAACCAGTCAGCAAATTGCCGGAGGGAAGAGGGAAGAGGGGAGGCGGGAGCCTGTGCACACCAGGGTGGCAGGGCTACCTATTTTTAGCCAAGAACTATTTTTAGCTTTGCCACTCCCCTCTCCCCCCCAATGGCTGCAGATTTTAGCTCTGGGCGAAGCTGCTAGCAGCAAAGGGTTAAATGTCTCATGCTCCCATTGGCCTGCCCCCCCTTTTCTCTAGACCCCCTACCCTGAGCACCCCCCAGAGAGCTCCAACCTCAGCCACGGGCTTGGGGTACCCCCTCCACAAACACGCAGGATGCACCAAATGTCTAAGTACCATTTTAAGCTTCCATAACTTCAGAAGTTCAAGTCCTATCAACTTTCAAAAACATCTTTTGAACGTGCAGTTATTTAGTCTTTGAAACATTTTTTTGAGTATGTTTTTTGTCTTAACTTCTTATCTCCATCTTTCTGATTAAAGACGAGAAATGCTGACTGAAAGCAAACATTTAGAAGGTATGATCTATCTAAACCACAGAGCTAACTAAATACGTGCAAAAGAAATGTAAAAAAAAAAAAAAACCCTCAACTTTCAAATGTGTTTTGTAAGCCTGTAGCATTTATACTTCTGAAGTTATCCAGACTTCAAATGGCACTAGGACCTATCGGACACCCTTGTACTTGAGGGGAGTGATACGTCCTGGAGGTTAAGAGTAAGAATGTGAAACCAGACAGCCCAAGGTTCGAATCCCAGCTCCAGCATTAACCAGCTGTGCGCCTTTTTGCCGAGTTACCTAACCTCTCTGAATGTTAAATGTTCTCATCAGCTAAACAGGGATGACCAAGGTACTTAACATCTGCTGGGCTTGTTTCATGGCCAGGATAAGATGCACAGAAGGCTTTAACACAGTGCTAGGGGCAAAACTGCCCCCATGTCTACCTGAGGATCTGGGGCAAGCTGCCCAGGGATGGGGACTCTGCTCTAGAAGGTTCCAAGCCAACATGATAAGGTCAAGGAGTGGCAGCCCTCTGGGTGAGGACTGGCCACAGAGAGCCCTGGGGTGGCTGGAAGTGAGAGAGCACAGCTTCCTGGGCCTGGTGCTGAGAGCCCCTGCTCCAGGCCCACTGTGCAGGTGGGTACACAGAGGGGCGGAGGGGATGGGCGCGGAGAGCAGGGGAAGGAGGTGCTTGTCTGAGGCCCATCCTCTGGGCTCCTTGCTTGCTCAGAGCCCACAGGGAACAGCAGAGAGAAGCCTGCAGCTGCGGCAGGAAACTGGAGCGGGCAGGGGTCCTGTGGGAAAGAGTTTCTACCATCGCGGAGCTCAGCTAGGGTCGAGGCAAGGGAAAGATCCCGGGAAAGATCCCTGTTCTCTCTCCCCGTCCCAAGCCCAATTTATGCATAACGGTGGGCACTACTGGGCCTGGAGAGGTGGGGGTCTTAACTTCACGCCCTGTCATTCTCTGCAGTCTCCAGGGTCTCGGCCTGGGGGAACAGGAGACCCGAGGAGAGTCTCCACGCATCCTGTTAACTGACTTCTAACAAACCCCAAAGGAAAGAGTAAGGGAGCCTGAGCATGGCCAGAGAGGCTTGGGGAATATGGGATTCGCTATCTAGGCCAGCAGCGCCCCCTCCTGGCAATGTCTGAGACTGCTACTATTCAAGAGCCAAGAGGAGAAAGGGAAACCTTAACAACTGTCTGTTCAGCCCTTTCTCAGAGGCAGCAAAGAACCTGCTGAGGTCTCTCAGCCACTACTTGTTTCAAAGGCTGGGGGGGGGGGGGGGGGGGCAATGGCAACCTGGCTGGCTTCCTCTGCTTGGTTCCCGGTGGCTTCCAGGTGCTGAATCAGCACCTTGCCGGACGATACATAGATGCCGAGGGCAGTGCCAGAAGCTCAGAACCCTGGTGACCCTGCCCTGGGGCCACTGCGAAGTCCCAAGGTTCTGCTGTTCCCTGAGTCTGTCTGGGGCAGGACTGGGTGCAGCCTGTTCTCCCCACCTGTACCCCTGGAGGAGGGGGAAGAGGGGAACAAGGGTGAGGGCCATGGATCTTTCCAACGTACAGGTTTTTGCTCTTTCTCTTCCGGGAGCCTTCGTCATTGTCCCCAACCGTGTCGGGCCCACTCATCTGCGGAGAAAAGACAGGTATGGTGTAATCCAGAGGCTGCTGCCTGAGCAGAGAGAGACTCAAGACTCCATCAGCTCCTGCAAAACTGCTTCCTCTAGCCCTCTCCAAAGTCCCCATCCCTCACAGAACCGGTGACGGAGGGAGACCCCACTACTAGAAACAGCCTGTCCACGGAATGCAGCTGGCTTGGCCGAGCCTCCCCCCAAGGGTCTCCTCCTGGCGCACTCAGGACCTGGCTTGCTGAGAAGAGGGCAGAGACATCACGGCAGGCAGTAGGGCTGGCTGGACAGCAGCACTTCAGCAGGGGCTTGCTGTGTAATGGGTTCAACTGCTGTCCTTTTGCAGCAATTGAACCTTCTGAGCCTCTGCCGCAACCTTTTGCAGCAAGGATTCAGAATCTGGAGGAGGGGCCACCCACAAATGGATATACTAGATAAGAAACATAAATTTGGAAGGCATTGGGGGAACCAGGCAGAGGCCCTTCTCTAGTGGAATGGCTCCCTGAATGTCCGGACCCATAGCTTTTTATTTACTAGAATACATATTTGCCCTTTAGCAGAGTAAACAGACATCAAAGGTAAGGTTTGGTAAACAAAAGATTATCAGCCGAAACCGGTTTGGCTCAGTGGATAGAGCGTCGGCCTGCAGACTGAGAGGTCCCGGGTTCGATTCCGGTCAAGGGCATGTACATTGGTTGCGGGCACATCCCCAGTAGGGGATGTGCAGGAGGTAGCTGGTCGATGTTCCTCTCTCATCGATGTTTCTAGCTCTCTATCCCTCTCCCTTCCTCTCTGCAAAAAATCAATAAAATATATATTTAAAAAAAAAAAGATTATCAGGTGAGGGGATTGCCTTCAGCCATTCAGCCAGCAGCAGGTAATATAATGCTGATTCTCAGCCCTTGCTGAATATCAAAGTCCATCAGCCTTCTGATGGACCTCACATATGTATATGTTAACTACTTTTTGGTCTTGGCCTCCTGCAAGCCTCTGTTCCTTAATTTCAAAATTGAAATCCTAAGGACTAACTCAGGATTCTGCAGTTTGAACGATACCTGGGACTGCACAGTAGTGTGTAAAGTGAATTATTACACCTCTCTTGCCTTAAAACTCTCCATGACTTCCTAGTACTCTTGGGGAAACATCCAAACTCCATAGCATGATGTGCAGGGTCTATCATCTCAAGATTCGGGCAGAAAGCTCCATTTTAACACCCATTACCACTCCTCCAGTGAGCTCCCAGCCTGACTCCTGCTCCGGCAGCCTCCTTGACCCGCCCTCAACCAAACAGAAGGTCTTCACTTGTCTCGCCCTTACTGTGGGCCTTCGCACCTGCTATTCCTTCCATGGGGGTGCCTTCTCCTCCCTAGTCCCACCCTCTGGAAAGACCTACACGTCTGGAAAGATGCTTAAATGCCTCCTCGCCTGGGAGGCCCTCCCTGACCCCTACATCAAGGTTGTGTCTCCTTTACTCCTTTTGAGGTTCCCACTACACCCAAAATGGCTTGTTCCGAATCTGACTTCTCCACTGGCCGCTGTCTGACTGCACCTGTCTGGGTATTCTTCACCGGACCTAGGGCACAGTATCCAATAAATACGTGCAGAATGAATGAATGAATGAATGAATGAATGGAGAGGGAGGGAAAGCGGATTAGGAAAGATGCATCTTGAGGTACCTGCTGCTTGACTCAAGGCCTGCAAATTTATCTCCCAGGCTCCCCTTCAGCCTGCAGATTCCATCCATTCCACACCCATCTCCTTGCCTTTGCCAGTGCTGTGCCCTCTTCCTGGAATGCCCCCTCCTCTTCTCCCAGTCTTCGCCTGCCCCTAGTCCATCACTCCTCCAGACCACTCCAGACTCATACCATCTCTACCAGGGCCTCCCTCTACCTCCCTACCTATGCTTGCCTAGCCTTCTCCAGGGGAAACCAGAGCCCCAGCTGTGCCACCCAGAGCAGGAGCCCAGGAAGTGCTCCGAGACAGCAGAGGAAATAGCACTCAGAGAGGATGGGCGTGGACACTATGTCCCAAGATAAGACAGAAGACCTCCAGGCGTGGCTCTCAGCTCTGACTTTTCATGAGCCCCACCCTGGGTCTCAGTTTCCTCACTTGTAAAATAAAGATGGGCTATGCCTTAAAATGCTGTGTTAATTCTGGAAAGAAAAATAATCCAGAGATATCCAGCAGGAGGAGCTACTAGCCTCAGTAAAGCATGCACTCACGGACAGACCTACGGATGGATGGATGGATGCATGGGTAGATCTACGGATGGATAGATGAAGGACAGGTGAAGTATAGCATCTTTAAAAATATATATATATATATATATATATATATATATATATATATATATATATTTTTTTTTTTTTTTTTACAGAGAGGAAGAGAGAGGAATAGAGAGCTAGAAACATAGATGAGAGAAAAACATCAATCAGCTGCCTGCTGCACACACACCCCCACACACACACACACACTGCCCCACTGGGGATGTGTCCGCAACCAATGTACATGCACCTGACCGGAATCAAATCTGGGACCTTTCAGTCCGCAGACCGAAGCTCTATCCACTGACCCAAACCGGTTTCAGCAAGTATAGCATCATTTATAGAGCTTGTACTATAGACCCGACCTTGGGATGAGCATTATTCAGATACTCTCTCATTCATCTTCAGAGTAAGTCCATAAAGTAAACAGAGGCTCAGAGAAGGTAAGCCACTTGGCCAAGGACACCCAGCACTTCACCGACAGCAGGACTCTAGGTCTGTCTGAACTCAAACCGTGGGTTTCTCCGCCAGAGGATGCTGCTACGCAAAGGCGAGGACAGGGCACGTTCTGAATGTTTTCAGTGAAAGACTCGGGGGAAATGCTGCCTCCTTCCTGAGAACGCTGCCCCACCAAGGCTGTAAACACGAGTGTGTACGTGCACACACAGGCACACGCCCGTCGGGGACGGGGGATTCCGGCGCTCGGTTGGCAGCCAGACGTGGCCATAGATCTTCTCCCCACTGACTTTGGAGCAGTTTCCCAGCCTCTCGGCTTCAGCTTCTTTGGTTCTAACATAAGGCACGGGGCCGACCACACGCCTCACTGCCCCGGAAGGTTCCCTAGGAAAACGTCTGGGCCCGCACGGCCCAACCTTGGCACACAGTGTGTCCTCATAACTCAGAGGACACACTGTGTGCTTGTGCTCATCGCCCTTGGGTGCTACCACTGTCACCCATTGAATATACGAGCTGTGGTCACGCCGGCCTGGCTAGGCAGTGCCTGAAGCCCCCACCCGTGGGAAAGGGCCCAGGCGCTGTGCTTCCTCCCATTCTAACCTCGGCTTCCGCACTTTATCAGCACCACACAATGGGCCTGGGGACCACTCCCACCGCCCGCCGGCCCCAGCCCCTGCGCTGCTGGGAAATGGGCTCTTCCTTCCACTGCTGGGAGGGGGGCATCTTCGGGAGAGGGGGCATCTTCGGCAGGGGCCAGCCAAGCCACCCTCCCCCCCTCTGAGAGAGGGGCCGGGCAGCTCTGGGCCTGAGAGTTGGCCCCCAAAGTTAGCCAGGAAAACCCAGGCACCAAGGGGTCGGGGACAGAAAGCAAAGAAACTAAGATGAGAAGTTAGGATTCTCGTTTGCAGCCAGAGTAGTTTCCCAAGGTTCCTCTCTCTATGGGAACGGCAGCCAGGCCTGCCCAGGGCCCAGCACAGAGGGCTTCTCCTTCCCATTGGCTCCCCACCATCTCTGAGCTACGTGACCTTCTCTGATGAATGGCTGTCGGAGGTGGGCTGAGCCCAGAACCAGCTCCCTTCACACCAGGCAGGAATCCCTGGGGCCTGCCCAGCCCCACCCGACCATCTCCTGGGACGGAGAGCTCACTGCCTCTTGGAATAATAGCCATACTTTTTATTGTAATTGGAACTATAATCATAGCAGTGAAGATGCTAAACTGCCTGAATGTGCACTCCAGCTTTGTCGTTTACCAGCTAACAGGCCTCAGACGAGGCCTTGGTTTCTTTACCTGTAAGAGGAGGAGGGCGATTAGACCCGCCTCTTGTTGAAAGGAACTATGTTAGCCCGGATGAAGTGCCAAGCACAGTGGCTATCCTGGGTGTCCTCAGTAACTGTCAGCCATTGGCGTCACTGCTGTGACTTGAGCGCTCACTACATGCTAGGCACTGAGCGACAGTGCTATTCTAATGTGAGACGCACACACTTTTGGAATGTTTTCAGTGAAAGACTCAGATGAGATGCCGCCTCCTTCCTGAGAACGCTGCCCATCAAGGTTGCAAAGACGTGTGTGTGTGTTTGTATGTGTGTGTGTGTGTGTGTGTGTGTGTGTGTGTACCTGTGCACACAGGCTGTTCCTAACTTTACCTGATGTAATCTTTGCAACAATTCTAAGAACTATTTGCTTATTGCTCCCAGTTTGCAGATGGAGAAACTGAGGGAGGCCCAGAGCAGTTCCGTTCCCTGCATGGGCTCCCAGAGCTGGTAAGTAGCAGAGAGTTTTGGGCCCAGTTCCAGAGCCCACCCGGGAATGTGGGCGCTCCTGTGAGCAGGGCCTCCCCGGGTTTCCCAGCCTGGCAGGCCCCAGGGAACTTCGTGGAAACACTGGATCTAAACTCTACACTTATCTGTTTAGACACCGGAAATCATTCCTCTTAGGCTTTTCTTAAACAGGAGCCTGGAAGGTGTTTTCACCTCTCGGAGCTGGAAGGCATCCTAGGAGCCCTCTTTTCTGACCCACAACCCAAGACTTAGTGTGGCAGGGCGAGCCCCCTCCGCTGATGGCCTCTGCACGTGCAAGTGCCCTGCAGGAGGGACAAGGAAGCATGGCCAGGGAGGGGCCCTGCCTGTCTCGCTGTCAAAGAGTGACCTGTGACTCTGGCCTAGGCCAGGCCAGACTGTGGTGCAGTTCAATGGCAGCATCCTGTGCCAGACACAGCTAGCTCGTGGCTTGCCTGGCTTCCAGGAAAAGGGCAGGCACAGGCCTGTGGCTCTGTGCAGCCTGGCCTCCAGGGAGCAGCCGGCAGAGCGAGGACTGGCAGCAGAGGGCACTGTGAGACAGCTCAGCTCAGCACAAGGAGGCGGCGCGGGCAGGACTCATGGGCTAACTGTGTGGGGTCTCCTCTCTGGACCTCAGCGGGCCCATCAATAAGGAGACCATAGCAGGCAGACCACATCCAGTCTGTCTAATTCGGACACTCGCACTCACAGTAGAAATCAGTGCACAAGGAGGCAGAATGACAGGTGGGGGAGGGTCAACGTAGGGACTGTCACTCTGCGACAGGCAACTTGGTGCTCTAGGCAGCTTCCGCTTAGCCACACATCAGCACCCTGACCAGCCTGAGGCCGAGCCGGCTCTGCCTAGTGCTCCCAGGTCACCCGTCACCCCAGGGTCAGTGCCGTGGGCACGGAGCACCTCCATACTGCAACCTTCTAGAATTCCTGGACAGGTGCAAGCAGACTCAAGTCTTCCCAGTTTATAAAAGAAGACTGAAGCTCAGAGAAAGACGTCACGTGGCCCAGGTCTCAGGACCAGGCAGGAGGAGGCAGAGCTGAGACTTGAACAGGGCCTGCTGATTCCCTAACCTGAAGGGAAGCCAGGCCTGAGCCAGGGAGATAAAGGTCCGGGGAAAAGAGCTGCCTCCCCAGCTGCCGGCCCTGCCCCTGCCCCTGCCCCTGCCCCTCCCCAGCATGAGGCGCGCAGGGTCTGGGGAAGAGCCAGAGGGGACGGGACAAGGCCGAGGCCACTGTCCAGCTGCGCTCGCTGTGTGGTCTGGGACAACACATTTCTCCCGTGGCCTCCGGCTCCCCACAGCAGGATGAGTACAGCTGGGCCCTCCTTGGGGCAGTGCTGTGAAAGCTCGGAAAGGGAGCTGGAGGCACTTGGTGCCTGTTGGGGTAACCGCTACTCCTCTTGCGGCTTGTCTTCCTCCTCCTCCTTGTCAACACGGTTTCCATTTATGGAGCACTGAGTGGCAGCCGTGCCCTTAACACTTTACCCGAGTCGGGCTATTTAATCTTCTCAGCAACCCTACCAAGGAGGTGTTATCACATACCCATTTCACTGATGAGGAAACTGAGGCTCAGAGGGACAGGGACTTGCCCAATGTGCGCTGCCAGTGAGAGATGGAGAGAGACCAGGGTGCTTGTCCAGCCTGGACCTTACTTCCCCTTGACAAGGGTAGGTTTCTTACTAAAGCCAGCTGGCTGGAAGGAATAGGATATGAATGATGATGAAGGACTCAGGGGCCGGCAAGCAGAAGCCACAAGGAAGGGTGGCCACCACGGGCTGGGGTGGCCTCTGAGGCCCTGCCAGCTCAGCCCCTCAAGCCCAAGAAAGGAAGCAGCAGGCCACGGCGGGGGAGGGGGGGGGGAGAACAGGAGGCCAGTGGGAGCCCTGGGCACCCAAAGGAGGAAGCTGAGAAGGCTGGCCCAGGCCTGCTGGACTCCCAGGTGGAAGTATCTATCCCAAAATAGGAGCTGAGGTCCGCTAATTTAGGGAACTGGGAGTTTACGCATGAATGTGTGTGAATTTATCGATATTCTGTCTATTTCCATCAGAGCAAGTGAGGAGGGAAGAGAACTTGGATGGGTCTGGAGGGGGAATCAGGATTGAGAGGCTCAAGGCAGATGGTGGACCTCGGCCGTCCTCCAGAGAAGAATGTCCAGGCCTCGCTGAGTCAGTCTGATGCCTCACCTCAGTAGGACAGAGGTCTGGACTCTCTCCTGTAGCAGCTGCATCAAGAAATGGCCTAAGACTGTGTCACTCAAACTACCAGGAACATCACAATCCCTGGGGGAGGGGAGGTTGTCTATAATGCAGGGTTGAGCACCCCCCATGGAAATTCTGATTCTAGAAGTCTGTGTTGAGGACTTAGAAACTTGTATATGCATAGCCTCCTCCTGGTGAATGGGAAGCACTTCAAAGTTTGAGAACCACACGTGTTGGCAGATGGGGAAACTGAGATCCAGTCCCAATTCCTTTGGGATTTCATTCCCATCCTGGACCCAAAGTTTAAGGTCCTGTTCTTGAGGGCCCAGCCTGCTTTGGCAGCCCGACCACCTTTCCTCCCAGGTGCCACGCACCTGCCATCCCTGCAGTTCAGGGATCCCCTGTTCTAGCCAGACTGGCTCCCGCGGCTGTTTTCGTCCAGGCCACGTCCCCTTCCACAGAACGCCTGCCTCAGCCCCTCTGCTTACTCCAGACCTGCTCAAGTCTCAAGGCTCAGCTGAGGGAAGCTGAGACGGGAGAGAGCGAGACGACTTCTGAAGCCTTCCCTGAGCTCTCCTCCCTGAACTCCCAGGCCTCTGAGGGCCAGCTGTCCTCTGCAGACACTGACCACCCCCACCCGCCTAGCCTCACAGCAGTCATCACAACACCTTGCAGTGCGCTGGTTGTTAGCAACCCAACAGCATCCGCTTGCGACTGCGCTAATGTCCTGAGGTCCCAGACGCATCCGGCTTATCCTCAACCACCCTGGGACGTGAGTGCCATTCATCTCTGCTCCTCAGAGGACACGGAGGCCCAGAGGAGCTGAGTGACTCACCCGAGGCTCCACAGTGAGAGACAGAACCCAGACTCGAGCTGGCTAATGAGCGTCAAGGACATGGCCCAGTCATTCACGGGCAGGCCGCCTTGCTGGCCCACACAGAGAGCTCACGCCTCCCAGGCTGAGGGCAGCCTCACACATTGCTGGGACCCAGCTGGGCCCAGAGAACAGAGCCCGGCACACAGCAGGAAATCAGTACACACGTATTCCTCTACTTATACGCTGAGTGGTCAGATTAGAGGCTCAGTGCATGAATTCATGCATGGGTGGGATCTGGCCAGCCTGGCCAGGGGGAGGGGACATGGGCGGTTAGCCTGCCTGCCTGCTGGTTGAACTCCTGGTCGAGGGGACAATTTGCACATTAGCCTTTTATTACATAGGATATATACTGAGTGGCCAGATTATTATGCATTCAGAGATCATAACAGTCTGGCCACTCAGTGTAAATATTTGCAGGAGGCAAAGAGCACAGTGGTGAAGAGCCCCACCCAGCCCTGGCTGCAGATGCTAACTCTGGTTCTGATATTTAAAAGCCTGATGCGAGTGAGACTACCTCAGTGCCTCAGTTTCCTCTCCTGGGGGGAACAATAATCGTATCCACTTCAGAGGGCCATTGTGGGAATTAGTGAGGTAATGTAAATTACGTAAAATATGTGCTGTCATTGTTTTCGGCGGATGGATTTCTAATCTGGCTGGGCCCGGGCTACGTCTAAACTGTAACTGTTTCTCTAGCTACTATCTTGGGTCTTCAAGATCCAAATACACAATGTCCTGGGCTAGGCTGCGTCGGCTCTACTCTCTGTGGGGGTCCCCAGTACCACCGGAGCTGTAAGAACACACTATCTGGAGTCATAAAGTCATGGGGTTAAGTCCAGGTTCTGCCTTCTGGTCTCTAGGGTCTCAGTTTTGTTCTCTGTCATGTGGGTATAAGGCTCATTGGAAGAACTCACTGGAAGACTTAGCAGGAAGGTCCTGGTGGAGGTGGGACAAAGTGACAAAGGAAAGAGCTGCTCCTTCCCTGCAGCTCTTGGACCCCAGCCCACCATCGCATGTACCCACGCCCCCGCCATCCTCGGCCTGCTTACCTTCCTGTGTCCCGGGAAAAAGAGGGAAAGGTGGTGCATGGAGCCCCCGTTGCGGCCCAGTTCCTTCTTGAGGGTGCGGGGCGAAGGAATGGCCCAGGAAGAGGTGGCGCCCTCTCCGTCGGAGCAGTTCAGGGTGGTGTCGGAGGAGAAGCAGGGCCCGCGGGGCTCCTGCAGGAGGCTGCCCTCGCTGTGCGTCCGGCGTCGCAGCGAGTTCTGCACCCGCAGCGAGAGGCCGCCCTCCGCACCCTGGCCCGTCTCTATCATGCTGCTGCGCTTGGTCTCGCTGCGCTCTCCGTAGTTGTCATCACTTGTGTCCTCCTCATCCTCATCTTCCTCCCCCTCCTCAGCCTCTTCTGCATCCTCCTCATCCCCGGAGCTGCCCCCCGCTGCCCCTGCCTTCTGGCTGTAGGCACTATCCAGCCGGACCTCGGGAATCACAAAGGCTGGCCTGGAGGCCACAGGCGGGCCCCCGGTGGCTGCTGGAGGGTCCCCAGAGCCCGTGGTCTCCGCAAGGGTCTCGGCTGGTAGCGGGGCCTGGCTGGGGGCTAGTTCTTGACATGGCGGAAGGTCCTGAGCAGGAGGGTCCTGGGTGGTCGGGAGGTCTTGGCTGAGTAGAGGGTCTTGGCTGGGAGAGGGTTCTCGCTTAGCAGGAAGGTCTTGGCAGGGAGGGAGGGCTTGGGCTGCAGGGGGTTCCGGGCATGGGGGGGAGTCCTTGGTTGGTGAGGGTTCCTGGCGTGGTGGGGGTTCCTTGCAGAAAGCTGAGTCTTTGCTCGATGGGGACTCTTGGCCAGGAGATGGTTCCTGGCCAGAAGAGGAGTCCTTATTGAGTGGAAGGTCTTGTCCCGGAAGAGGCTCCTGGCCAGGAGAGGGGTCCTTGCTGGGTGGGGGATCGTCGGCACCTGGCCCCTTCCCTTCCTCCAAGGGCATCTCCCTCTTCTCATCCACCTCCGACTCAAACATCTGGGAAACAAAGAGAAAACAACAAAGGTTCGGAAGAGGAGGTTACACAGTGCCAGGAGGTTACTACACACATAGAGACTGAAACAAAATCAGACAGTGGCCTGAACCCCGCCCCGCAGTCTGCAAGCCAAAGCACCAGATGGAAACCTAGAAGCCCCTGTTGGTCCCAGCCTTAACTCCTTGCTCAAAACTATCGCCCCATCAAAAACGTGAGGGGAAGAGAGGTAACCACAGCGATCTGGCTCCTATTGCATGCCAGGGGCTATGCCCATTTAAACCCCTTAGGCAATGGTCCTCTCAGGCCAGATCCGCGCTGGGTAAGTCACCTCTATGAGTAACGGAGAAGCCAGGCTCTCTCTGTGTTCATGGGCTAGAACCAAACCAAGCCCCAAGCCCCCCCCCCCCCCCTACGTGGGAGGATCCTGGACCCAGCCAAAGGGTACCTTTTACCTGAACCAAAGTCTTTTTTAAAAAGCCTAATGAATTGTTCAAATAAGAACTTCCCCTCAACAAAATGAAAAGGCAACCCACTGTATAGGAGAACATATTCGCTAATGAAACATCTGATAAGGGGTTAATTTCCAAGATATATAAAGAACGTATATAACTCAACACCAGGGAGACAAACAATTCAATGAAATCCTGGGCAAAGGAACCGAATAGACACTTCTTCAAAGAGGACATACAGATGGCCAATTGACATGAGAAAATGTTCGACATGGCGAATCATCAAAAAGATGCAAATTAAAACTACAAGGAGATCTCACTCACACCTGCCAGCATGGCTTCCGTCAATAAATCAATAAACAAGTGCTGGTGGGGGTGCAGCCTCTGTGGAAGACAGTATGGAGTTTCCTCGAAAAATTAAATATGGAACTCCACTTGACCCAGCGATTCCCACTTCTGGGAATATGTCCTAAGAATCCCAAAACACCAATCAGAAAGAACATATGCATCCCTATGGTCATAGCAGTGTTATCTACAATAGCTGAGATCAGGAAACAGCCCAAGTACCCATCAGTAGATGAACGGATAAAAGAGCTGTGGTACAGTTACACAATGGAATACTATATAGTGGTAAAAAAGAAGGATCTCTTACCCTTTGAGACAGCCTGGATGGACGTGGAAATTATTATGCTTGCAAAAAAAAGCCAGTCAGAGAAAGACAAATATCACAGGATATCACTTATATGTGGAATCTACTGGACAAAATAAACTGAAGAACAAAATAGGGCCAGAGATATGGATACATGGAACAGACTGACAAATCTCAGAGGGGAAGGGGTTGCGAGATTAATGAAAGAATTTATATGCATACATGCATAGGCCCTGGGCACAGACAATAATGTGGTGAAGGCCAGTGGTGGGCAGGGTCTAGGTGGAGGGGGGCCAAGGAAGGGCTGGGAGACATCTGTAACATGAATTTTTTAAAAATAAGAATTTTTTAAAAAAATAACTTACTCTCAATGTTTAAGTATCTTTTTTTAAGTAGCTATTTAATACTAAATGGAATGAAACAAGAACTTCAAAATGTTGCCCACACGTGGACTAAGCAGGTGTCACGGACACTGGGAACCCCACGGAGGGAGCATCCGGGGACTTGGAGACTATGCTTGGAGGAAGCTCAGGAGTTCCGCACAGAGAAGAGAAAGCATTTGCTGTCTTGCGCACAACGCAGAGAACCCTCTGAGTTTTGCTGGGTTTCTGCAGATTTCCTTTGCAAAGAGGCAAAGAGTGCCCTGGAGGAAGTCTGAATGCAGCTGTCCCCCATGAAGACCGGGGTGCAGAGGTGGGGAGAGTCCACGGTGCCGCAGTCACGGGGGAAGCAGGTCTCGGGCTCATCAGAGTCCAGGAGTTGGAATGCTGTTGCTAGGACTATTTAGAGCCCAGTTTTTGTCCATGAAGAGGCCAGAACCAACTAGTTCTAATGAAAAAGAATGGCAGTACCACACCTACCCAGAAACTGTACAGACACATGAGAATGTGAGCACACACACACACACACTAAGAATTTCAGGGGCACATACCCCTACTACACAGTTCAGAGCTCTTGGGACAGAGACCCTTCATGTCCATTTGCCAGATGAGAAAGCTGAGCCAAGGAGCAGAGAGTGACTTACTGCACAGCCACGCAGAGACCAAAAGGCTGCACCGGAGGCGGAGAAAACCCCTTCGCCCTCAGGAGTCTGCCTGTGAAACCCCAGCCAGTCCTGGCATCCGGGAGCCAGTGGCCAGCCGGGCGCTGCACACACGTGTCAGGGGTCACGCGTGGGTCTGGGAGCGCCAGAGGGGATGTGAAAGCACAGTGTGGGTGAGAACCACTGCCTGGGAGCCTGAAAGCGAAAGTGTCCAACCCCCACAGAGATGGTGGCTACAAAGGAGAGGGGAGGCCTCAGAGGACTGGAGGAGGATCTGGTGAGTCTGGTCCCCAGGCAAAGCCAAAGACAGGTGCCCACGCACCCCATGGACCCTTTGCTCTGGAAATCCTGCCCGAACCTGAGGGATGATACTCAGACCTCACAGCCTCAGATCCTGAAACACCAGCAACCCCAAGTCCCCGCTGCTCAGAGAGGGAAGCTGAGGCCTAGAGAGGGGCAGGGGCCAACCTAGACTCACACTTCGGGGTCAGGGAGAGTCAGTCACTAAGTCCTGGGGCTTCAAGGTCCCCACCTATTCAATGGGACATCCGACACGCCCACATAACAGCCAGGAGAACATACTACAGGAAAGTAAAGCTCTCAATGGGATTGTGGCGAGGATAGGCATGGTGATTGAAAATAGACCGAGAGGGAAATGCTGAGATCACAGACCTCAAACGGCATCATGCTTTTTCCAGGGGCCCCTGGGAGCAAACCCAGACACCCCGAATCAAAGAGGGTGGCTGGGATGCCCGGTCCCCCGCTGCAGAAATCTCACCTGGAAACTAAGGGCTGCTCCCAGGCGGACAGAGAAAGCCTCTGCTGAGCGGACAGGAAGGCTGAGCCCAGCCTGGACAGTGACCTAGGGACTTGCCCAAAGGCACCAATCAGGGCCAGGCGGGGGTTAGAGCCTCAAGCCTCTGGCTCCTTCTCCCCAAGCCTACTTCAGACTCAGTCCCCAGAGCAGCCCGGATCCCCGCCCATCGCCCCACCCACCAGGGAGCGGTCACCACAAAGAAAAACAAATGCCCAAAGCCGGCTCCCTGACTATCCGCGCTGGCTCCGCTCACCCCCACCTGGGAGGACCAATGGAAGGAAGCAGCGACCGGTGCCCTTGGGCCAGGCACCAAGTGGCCCTGAGAAAGGAGCAGCCTCATTTGCATTCCCCCTTTCCTGGAGGGTGGAGGTGGGGAGGGGTGAGGCCCCTGCCTGTCCCAGGGGTGCCCGCATCCTGCCCACCCCTCAGGAAACTGCAGCAACAGACCCAAAACCAGAAATGCAAGTCAGCCTGCCTCTGCCAATCTTCCAATCTTGCCCCACACCGAGGCCAAACCAAACAAACCGGAGGACAAGTGCCTCTGTCCCCAGGGCTGCCCTGCCCCGGGCAGCTGGGAAACCACCGAGGCCTGACGGGCTCTCAGAGTGCCCAGCATTTTGGTGCTCTGATGCCAGAGTCAGGCTTTGGTGTTGGTCCCTGTGGGGTCAATTTCCAGCTGTGCCACTCTGGCCACGCCCCCCAGCCTCCGGGAGACACAGAGCTGTGCTATCACACAGCACTCACAAGAGTGGTCCCACAGGCCTGGCCCAGCTGATGAAACGGTGGCTGCTATCAGTCTAAGGAGGGGGAACTGAGCTCAGAAAATGACCTAAGAAACCGGAGACTGATTCAGTTATGTCTCCTGGCAGAGGCTCTCTCCCTGCTTCTTTAGGACCTTATACGCAAGCTGTTGGGACCCTCAGGGGTCTCGAAGGGGGAGCAGGCTGAGCATTACCCAACTTGGGCCCATCCCCCACTTGCAAACAGGGACCAGAGCTCATTGGTTCTGTCCTGTGCTCCTGATGGGCCACCAGGCAGGTTTGGTCAGGCCAGGGTTCTCTGGAGAGCTGGGATGGGGGGTGCCTTGGGAGAAGGGGGCCTCTGGAGCAAATACAGGAAACCTCAGAAATCGGGGTGGGGGGGGGAGGGAGTGGCACATGAGAGAATTAGGAAAGGCAAGGAGAACATGTCACAGAATCCATAGATGCCAGCCATGGGACTGTCCTGTGAGCAAAGGAATGACACGTGCAAGGCGTCCTACATGAAAACTGCTCTGGGCAGGATGACAACGCCCATGCATTCATTCATTCTCCAGGCACAGAGTGAGGCCCCGGGGCACAGCAGAGGACAAGTGGGACACAATCCCTGCCTCAGTTACCCGAGCAGAAAAAAGCAAAAGGTTGGACAATCGGTCATGTCCATCGTTGTGAGTGCTCTGATGGAGGAAGTGCAGGCAGCGGGGACACCCAGCTAGGCAGCTGTTGCACCTGATTGGGGTGACAACAATCCGGCAGAGAGACCAGTCTGCTGGCCCGTGGCCTTGAGTCCCTAGTCCTCCGTGCAGCTGCCCCTCTCCTGCGGGCAGTCTCTCGCCCCCACCCATCACTTCCTTGGCTTGGCTGGACCAGGCCTAATTCCGTCCATGTCTCGCCTGCTAGCAGCACACAGGAAATGAACCAGGCCCTCTAAGTGGAGCTGCTGTTGAGGATCTAATCAAATCCTCTCCCCAATCCAATCCAGGGCTCAGACCGGGCTGAGGAAGGCTGGCAGGAGTGACACCAGAGCTCTTGCTCACACCAGCTCTGGCTTCTAGCCCCCGGTCCCCACCAGCTAAGGCAGCTGGGGATGGCCGTGAGGGGCTGGGACCGACTTGCTCGATGTCACACAGCTACGAAACGTGGAGCCAGGTCTGCTGACCTCAGAGTCAACCTGCAGCTCTCACTGAGATGACTCATCACATCCACTACGCATTCCAGCTCCACGTGTGCCCTCAAAAGCCACTTCCTGAATGAGGTGGGGGAGGGGAGGGCACGGGGAGGTGTGAG